CGGCAAACATTTACCAGTGAAAAGGTTACGAAACAATTAGGTGGATGTCAAAAAGCATTTTGTTGTTATAGTGTAAACTTTGGAGGTATTTATCTGAGATTTTGTTAAGAAAAAAACTTCCGACAATATTCTATTATACAAAGTGCCACTATGACGTGTTTGACCTCCACTGCAGTATGGTTTGCTTATGTGGGTGATTGCTAACGCTAAGAAATTGTTACCACAACAGTTTACACTGGTTATTCACATCGTAGTGTACTGTTACACTTAACCGGTTCATTGAATGTAATCAGTTATTTTTAAGCCTCTAAGTTGGTTTCACTAAATGTGCTTAAGGTTTTTGCAGTTTAAGCTTTAGTCAAAAACCAGCTTAAGACGCTCAATTCCTTGAAAACTACTTTAGTTAAACGCCGGATCTTTACGCATATGCTTTAGCAATCACCGACGGAATTTGTAAAAAAAAATTTTCAATTTGAGAACGCATTACTGGCAGAGGCAAAATAAAATGTGGCATTTTTATTTTCTTTCTGTTGTATCAACAAATTAATAAAACCTCTAATTTAAGTGCCTAATATTTGCTATAGCTTCATCAAAATGTCGCGGTTCAATCATTTTTTTTGTACTTAGCGTCATTTATCACCTTGAGCAGTTTTTGGGTTAAATAGGTTCAAAATAGTTCGGAAAGTAGAGGAGGTGCCGGATATTTCAAGAAGGCTCTAAAACAAAAGTGGTGACAGTTCTGCAAAAGCGTGAGTGAAACGTGTGCCAATTTGAGATTTGAAACTACAGAGAGAAAATTTAACTGCCAAATATTGTGAAATTTGCCGACTGTGTAACATACGCCATCAAAAAAAGATAAGCTTTCTTTTCAAAATCCGCCAATAAACGGTATGTACTCTTAAAAGCTTCAGTCGTTCTTCTTACCTCTCATCTTTCGTTCGTCCAAATCTGAGTATCCTGGACACTAGCTTTTAATCTCTATTTGCCCACTTCCTCAGTTCCTTACCGCACCCCCTGACCTGCCTTCAAGATCAACCCTCCTCCTATCCAATAACTCTGCTCAGGTAAAAGATATATAACAAAATTCACCAATTTCCGATGATTTAAAAAAGAGGACAATGGAAATGAAATTGTACCTGAGACATACGTGAGGTAAAGTGAACAGAAAATAATTAGCCCGGATATAATAGAACTGACCTGAAATTTTGAAGCTATATTAATTAATCCTTGAAAAATGTTTAGAATAAAGGGCAATGAAATAAATATAAAACGCAGCAGATATGTATAAGAGAGGAAATTTGTTTGGCCCCTAAGTATCGATTTAAGAATTTAAACTTTCTCATTCGTTTGTATTTGTTAATTATATAGCGTGACACGTAGTATAGACACAGAATAATTTGCAGACAAAGACGTAGTAAGAAAATCCGTAATTCATTTCAAGATGACCAAAGACGAACAATTCAAAAAATGGGAAAAGAGACGAAGACAATGGTACTTCAAACTTCATTGTTTTTTCAAATTTTTTCTACTGCAAATCAAAAAACCGAGAAAAGTGGGGAAATTAAAGTATTTCACATACACAATGAAAAAAAGAATTTTTTTTTTGTTTTTCAAGACTAATCGTGCTAATGAAGAAGACCAAAGAAAATTTAGAAAAAAACTTGATTAATTAAAATGGATTATTAGTTTATGGTTTCAATTGCAGAAATGCATGAGCACCTACCCCTTCTTCCCTTTTCTTCAATTCTTTATCCCTTCCGTTGGCCCCCTTCATCCCACCACTCTCCTATCGCTGATATTGCAATGCAATAGCTTAAGGCTTTAAAGTCGATCTGGATTTTTTAGAGTAATCTTTTTCAGTGATATAATCGTCTCCTGCTTCTACTTACGTACCATTCAATTTCTCAACATATAATAACAAATATAGACAGATAGGACAGATAATCAGCATTTTTACGACAAAAACAATAACAAACCTCTTTGGCTTGCATGATAGTTGAAAAAAGGTTTTTAGCTGCCGTACTCGTCTTTTCAGCTGCATGTGTTAAATTTTCGCTGATGGTGTAACGGCTACGACTTGGACCACTGACCATCGTTGGTAATCGTTGACGACTTTTTTTTTTTATCTCAGTGGAAATGGAAGAGGGAAGATGAAATTTCTGCAGCAACGATGCCAAACGATTTTTTCGTGCTTAAATATGAAGTAATGAGCGTGAAAAAATTTTTTCAAAACAGTAACAACAACGGCATAAACATGATTACAATCAACGCCGACAAGTGTAAGCTATATATATTTTTAACGAATAACTAAATCACTTAATTCGAATATAAACTGACAAACTTTATCACTCTCTTCTCGCCGCTCAAATCTAACTAATCGTTGATTTGCAAAGTAGAGTTCTAGAAATATAAAAAAAATATATTTAAAAAAACTAGATTTTTTTAGTCTATTGCAGTGAATATTTGCTGAACTTGGATCTCAACCAGCTAAGTCTCAAACGTTAATTTGAAGGGACATGATAAGAGCTATCTGTGACATATGTACACGTTTGTGCCACTTCGATAAAGGTGAGAACACAACAGGTACATGACTTGAGCTACATTAGGATCGCCTGTAGAGACAGTTTATTCGACTAAGGTGATAGTTTTGAATGGTTTGGAAGTAATAGTTGTGGCTTTGAAAAAAAGAAAGTTCGACTAATTAGATCTAATATGGAAGGTGGGTTTTTTACTAGGAATTATTATAGGCTGACTAGTTGACTGCAGATAAAAGTTGTCATTGGGAATTGTAACATCTGAATTTTTTGGGAAATGACGTCCAGCAGTTGCACTGAATCGATGAAAAACAACTCATTTCCATGACAACGCCGCGACCCATTTCAGTAGTACTTCAGCTGCCAAAAAAACAAAGAAATAAACGAGTTTCAAAGTATTTCTTTATCCAGCCTATCAATTGAAGTTGTCATCAGCTGGTTATTGCTCTTTCCAGTCGATGTACTATGAACCAGAAGGTGAATGCTTTGAAGGCTACACAGGTGTTAAGAACTGCATAGCGTAATAAATCACTTCAAGTAAAATAAAACTGTTTTGTGTTGGGAATACAAATTTTACCAAAATAGTCGTATATTTGAAGGAAAAGTATTAAAGCTTTTAAAATCATAAAATATTATTTGAAGTAAAGCGCAAAAACTGCAGTTAAACGGCAGAAAATGATGAGATCATTTACTTTAAAAATTCATCAATTTATTAATTCATCTTAGAAACTGAGAAAGAAACAGGGAAATATTTTTGTGAGTGTCTGAGTGTGTGTTTGTGTGTCTGTGTTTGTGTTTGTGTATGTATATGTTTCTTAATAAATATGCAAATCAACTAAGAATACCTTAATTAAGCTCTGGGTGCATTTGTCAATTCAATTTTATTTAGAATCTTGTCTGATAGTTTAGGTTTTATTTATATTCTCCCTCAAAAATTTTTCTTGATAAGAGTGACAAAATTAAAAAAAAAAA